GACAGACTCGTGCTAATTGAGTCGAACTCGGGTGTGGAAATTACTCAGTCATTAAGTCCAGTACAGGAAAAAACAGTGAACAATTATTATTATTATTGGTTATTATTTGTGTAATGATTGCGAGGTAGAGTTGTTTGATGTGCAAACACAAATATGGGTGCTTATCATGATTGCTGCATGCGGTGATGGTTATAGAGTCTAACAGCTGATGGGAGAAATGATCTGCGGTAGCGCTCCTTTGTGCATTTAGGATGCAGCAGTCTGTCACTGAAGGAGCTCTACARATCAGCTACAGTTCCGTGCATTGGGTGGGAGGTGTTTTCTGTTATAGATGTTATTTTACCCAGAGTTCTTCTGTCTCCCACCACCTGCACTGGGTCRAGGGGGCATCCCAGCACAGAGCYGGCCTTCTTGAYGAGCTTATCTAACCGCTTCMTCTCAGTTGTAGATAAGCTGCCGCACCAACAAACGATGCCATAAAAGATGGCTGAAGCCACAACTGTGTCAAAGAATGTCTTCAGGAGCGCCCCCTGCACTCCAAAAGACCTCAGCCTCCTCAGCAGGTAGAGTCTGCTCTGACCCTTCCTGTAAAGAGCGTCTAGTGTTGTGAGTCCAGTCTAGTTTATTGTTCAGGTGAACACCCAGGTACTTATAAGAKTCCACTATCTCAATGTCCACTCCCTGGATGTTCACCAGATGTCCATTCCTTGGATGTTCAATGCCAGAATTCATCGGACTCTTATTGTGAAAGAGTGGTTCAGGGAGCATGAGACATTTTCACACATGGATTGGCTCCACAGAGTCCACTGAGAATCGTTGGGATGTGCTGGAGAAGGTCAGACTCTACCATCATCAATGCAAGATCTTGGTGAAAAATTAATAGAACACTGGATGGAAATAAATTTTGTGACATTGCAGAAGCTTATCCAAACAATACCACAGTGAATGTGTGCCATAATCAAAACTAAAGGCAATCCAAGTGAGTGTGACCTTTTTGGTGGCAACTTTATTTTTGGCCAGGCTGTGCCAAACAGAGCAGAAGGAATCAGCACACTATTAGGTGCTCCTGTTTCCTCTCAGAGTCCAAAAATATGCTTTAATTGGCAACTCTAAATTGTYCATGGTGTGAAAAGTTTCAAGATAGATGTATGACAAAAGAGTGGCAGCAAAGGTCAAAAGGATTGTATACGAGAGAACAGAGATGTAGATTGGTGCAGGACATGCATGAGGACAGCAGGTCTGTGGTGAGATGTCCTGAAGATGGACAGAAAGCTTCAATGTCGAGGTGGGATCACATCAAGGTTCGGCAGAGCTGAAGATGCTGAGGTTCTCCTTGGGATTGATGGATAAGATCAGGAATGAGGTAGGAGGTACGGCACAGGTTAAACCAACGGGAGATGAATGAGACCAGACTGAGACCATTTGGACATGTCCAGAGGAGGGACGGTGGTTATATTGGTAGAAGGATGTTAGAGATGCAGAGTTGTGGAAACCCTCAGGAAGGATGTTTGTGCATTTATAACGGATTGAGAAAACAAAAAACTCTAGTTTTTCACTGGTTGTTCACATCTTTTGCATTAATTTGACTTAGTGTAGTTAAATAAAACGTGTATCGTAAAAAAGTACATTAACTTTGTTACAGTACTTGAATCACTTTTTGATGATCTGTAATTTTTAGAGGTTTTCTGGTCGATCTCCCATCTTTAAAAAGTCTGACCTGCTGATTCAAATTTTGGCCGATACAGATTTTTTAAATAGCTGACAGTCAGGTGTTAGATGGTCACAATACACCTTTAATGTCCCAATGTTATTTTATTGAAACACATTGAACAGTACCCTTGAAACAATGTAAACTTGTTTTAACTGGACATTAGGTAGTGCTCACAGCAGAGCAAACGGGGACAGTGGTTGATTTTCAGACCTTTGTGGAGGCAGAAAAGCCGATCTTTTCCACCGATCTGGAAGAAACAAAAGGAAATTGGCGCCGATAAATCGGCCCTAGTAATTTTATCACATTTTTTTTAATCGTAACTTTTATTTCGTTGCACTCAATTTGAAATTTGACCATCATGAAATGAGTACTTCTACTCTTTCTTTCTCGATTATTATGAGAAATTCAACCTTTACTTAAGTATTTCTCTTATCAGACATTTTCTGTTAAGGTATTTTTACTTTTTTTTTTTACTTCTTTGTTTTTTTCCCCAAGTACTTTACCAAATTGTGCGCAATGAAGTTAAGAGCTGTACATTTTCATACTTCAGATTTTAAGTAAAAAATTTAAAAAAAAAGCAAGGTTAGTTAAAATATCTTTGTACTTTGCAAATTTTGAGGTAAAAACTTAACAGTGGTTGTTCATGAATGGGATGTGTGAAGCAGCTGCACGTCCTACACCTGCAGTTAGAGAGTAATGGGTGTCCTCCTCAGATGGACACATTAGTGTCTGAGAACTGTCCCATATCGTGTGACAGCGGGATTAAAGTAAAGGGCAATATTTCCCTAATGGCTTAATGTTGTGTTTGGCTGGTAACTGCTGAGCACTGATACCTGCAGCCTCACCTGAGTAGATTTAAAGGTGCTCACTGCAAACTGTGAAATCCAATATTTAAAAGGGTATCCTGAATGATCACATGATGCAGTTTGAAGGAGTTTACTCCAGCAGTTTTGCAGACAGATTGATGAGAACGTCCTGAATGTAAACATTTACTCGTAAACATTTACTTTAAAATTTACTCGATGTACCAATGAGTTTTACTTTCCTGAATGATGTCACCATGGTTGACCCATTGTTAACCAGCAACATAAGAGAAAAATATGTAAATTTTGTTTCTTTTTTTATGATTGTTTTTGGCCAATTTCCACGACTTCGCAATAAGTAAAGATTTGAAAAAAGTGAAAATTAAAACATACATTTTCTTTTGGTCCTAGTTCAAAATATTTGGAAGTAATTTGCTGGTGCAGTTTTAGTAAGGTTTTAACACAGAATATCAAAATATATCTCGCAACTATCAATGCTTGTTTTTCAACAACAGTGAAACTAGCAGGCGTACTATTCTTTAATAACGTGTATGAGCTTTTTGAATTTTGGTGTGTCAATACCTTCAGGCTGGTTTAGTCAAACCCTAGACTGGAATTCAAGTCGGCCACAACGGGGGGATTTCCACGTGCCTCTCAGCCGTCGTGATTGCAATATAAAATTGTGCGTCATGCCGTGGATGCATCCGCTCACATCCGTGTGCCTACGGGGGAAAAAAGCTCTTCAGCTGACAGTGAAGTAATGCTTAACTCACGTTTCAGGTAAAGGCTTAATTAATTTATCCCATTGGGAGATCTGGATTTAATGTTAACACCTGGGCTTCAGTGCCACCCAGTGGTGATGCAATGATGGTTATGATGTGGGATCCTGCAGGAATAAAGCAGAAAAAAAAAACATTTTAATTAAATTGATTTTAACTTGAATAATTTATTTTATATCTACAGAATAAAACTCACTTTTTCTTGGTTAACGTTGCAGTCCTGGTTAGCTATAACCAGGGATGGGTTGAAGCCCGGAAACTTCTGATTTGTTATGATGTGAAGATTTGGAGCCTAAAACTTAATGTTAGTGGATCACAACCAGCTTTTACATATTTATACGCACAGTTGTCACAAATTTAAAACTATTTGTTGTTGTGGTTCCAAGTTGATCTTTTTTTATCTGCAAACTTTATCCATTCATATCCAACACCTTATTATGATGCTACCACCACCATGCCTGATTGATAATTTTGGGATCAGGAAAAGTAATTCCTCTTTTTTTACTCGTCCAATCTAAGTCCTGGTATTTGCGCCTTAACAACTTGATGTTTTAATCCAATACCACATAAAAAAACTAAAAAACACCAAAAAATCTCAGCTGTTAAGTCCATTTTTTAAACCAAATCTTTAAAAATGTTCATTTTCGAATTTCTACCACTAGAAATTATTGGTTATGGTTGAAATTCACTTATCAAGAAACCAGAAACAATTTTAATTGGGCATATTTAGGTAGAAATTACAAAATAATACAGAAAAAAACTATTAGAAGTAGAGGGGAAAAAAGGACAACAGATCAATATTTTGAAAAAGAAAACACTTTAATAGCAAATTTGAACATACATTTAAAAAATAGGGGGCTAAATGTTCCTAAGACACAGGAAGCAAACATTTAAAACAGTTCAGCTGCCAGCTTTTTCAACAAAACAAGAAGATCATTCACAGAAAATAAAGTTAATCAAGTCTTAGACGAATTAGTAGAAATGACTGACAGTTTTCTTTAAGCATTTTAATTTTTTTAAGCCTTAGAAATAAAAGAGACAAACACTTCAACTCCAGGAAAGGCTTTAAAGTTTTAGCTTTAGGGAATTTATCGATTTATCGAGGTACTGATAAGGTACTCATCTAATCATTTAGGTAAAGAAGCCTACAACTAACCAAATCTTAATGTGGAACCAAAGTTTAGGAAACGTTACAGCAAAACAGATTTCATCAGGGTTTTAACAAAAAAAGAGTCGCTAAAGTAATTCTACAAACTGAGAGACACAACAGAGCTTTTACATGAAAGAGCGAATTACAGTTTAACAAATCAACATTTCTTCAGCGAGCTTGTTGAGAAACAAAAAAATAGACAGAAGCAAAAGACACTTACTGGCTGATGATAGGAAATTATCGTGCTCTTTATTAGCGGTCCTGAATATTACAGCTGAGACTTCTGAAGACACAATCTGCAATCAATTTCTCCTTTTATGTTGTTTAAAAAAAAGAAAAGAAACAGTTTAAGAAATGAAAACTTTAAGAAATAAAAAGTGAAGGATCTGTTGAGGAGCCTCTTGCATAAAGCAACAGGAAGTGATGAAACCTCAACCTCGCTTTCAACAACCGAGGAAGAAACCATCCAACCGGACAGGTACACCATATAATCCTTCTTAGTACTGCAGCTGGTTTTGTGAGTAGGATTTCTGTTTTTAAGTCTTTTAGTCAAATAAAAACAAGATACTGTACTGTGCAAACATCTTCAGTCACCTTCACGTTGTTAGATTTTGCCTCAGTGATGCTTTTAATTGAATTATTTGAAACATGAACTTATTGCAATGATTTACCAGATCATCTGAAAGTCTATCAAAGTCTTTCTGTGACAGTGGGGTTTTTTCCCACTGGTTGTCTGTTACTGAAGCATCATCCAGTTGATCCACAACTATAGACCAATGGTTCCCAAAGTTAGGGTGTGGACCCCTTTGTGGGTCATGAAACATCAAGTGAGGGTCCCCAAATGATTTGCAGACAATTTAAATGTAAAGAAATTGGTATTAGCAAAAGTCACCATAAATATGGAAAAATAATAACAATAATAAATTAATAAAAGTAGTTTCAAGGTTATTAGGTTTGCTTATATTGTTATTTTGTCCATGTTTAATACAGGTGTTAGCAACGTTTGCAAATATTAACCAGTAAAATCTGGGATCGCAAGTTTGTGCAACTGTTATTTTGTGGGCCGGAAGCTAAAAAGTTTGAAAACCACCGCTATAAATCAAATCACCTCATTGTTACTGGTTTAATTTAAATATAGCAAATAAAACAGGTTATATATTTGTGAAGTTGGCTGTTATAAAACACCAGTTCATCCCTTGAGTTATAGCTTAAGTGTTACATTCATTGGGGCAAAACGTTTCGGAAAATGGTAAAAAAAAAAAAAAGAAATAGTGAAATCCATTAACAAATAGTAGATGATCTGGAAAATTTCAAGAACATAAATGTATATTTAAACAAAACAGTACTTTTGCTGATACAAAGAATTAACCGCCCGGTTCACATGATGTGAGGAACCAGCACAAGAAATGCTTTGCATCTTTTAAAAAAAAAAGTGTCCGATTCTATGATTTAAATGCAACTTTTCCAGCCATAGACCTCAGACGTGTTGACAGGATAAGAGTGTGTTGACTGGGCCTTTTAAAAGTCTTGCAGGAAAACACAGAAATGCTTCTGGATAAACGTTACTTCTTCTGTGTTTGCAGAAAACTCCAGAGATCTTTGACCACCTGAGGAAGGTGAGGGGAGAAAGACAGAGAGAGGAGAAAAAACATAAATCATCTAAATGAAGTGCTACACAGAACGAGGCACATGACTCACTTTTACTACAACATGAGTTTTGTGCCTGTTGCCTGTGGGAACGCCGCGTTTGGATGGGGCTGGTGGGGAACGACGAGGGGTTGGGTGGGGGCAGCAGCACATACCAGAGCGTATGACTAGGTGCTTCAGGTCTGACAGATCTCAGCCTTGGCTGATGAAACCAAAGCACTTCCACAGATGTTTCTACACACTGGGATCAACAAGCTCGCCCAGACCCGGCTCCACCCCCCCCCCCCCCCCTTCTGCCTGTCCACCCAGCCTGTGTCGCTCTAAAGAGCTTCCACCTGCTCTTTTAACTGTGTAGTTCAAATCCTAACAGTTGGGATGGTCTGTTTCAAGTGATCGCCTTATAAGGAAGAGCTACCCTAAAGAGGGTGCTAAAGACCTGCGCAAAGACTTGTTTTTCTTAACGCATGTTCAGACTTACGTGATTATGATTATGAAGACTGTGTGTAAAGATAAAGTGCATCAGTATTTTTCTTCATGGATAAATGTGTTTTTTTGAAACTGCAGAAAAGTGACTACAGCCGTCTTTAACTGTGCAACAAGTTGACAGATGTGTTGTAAAACTGCATGTCCTAAAGATGCATGTCTTTGACTGTGGCTCCTCCGAAGGTCTCTGTAAATCCTGTAGCTCGCGTGGGCCGAAAAGGATCCATTGGACCCGTCCTTCAAATTGGGGCAAAAGAAGGACACATTTGTTGGCCGCATTGAAGGAATCTTTGAATTTGGACAGCCTTCGGCGCGGCGCTGTGACGTAAGCGGCCGACGAATTCGGCCTTCAGAAGACCCAGCCTCTGGATTTGGACACAGCCTTTGTGTGATTAAACAGTAGGGCTGTGTATGTATCATGACACTGTGGTGTTTTGTTTCCATTGTTTATTGATTTATTTTTAATTGTAACACACATCAATGTGCCAAATAATGATGACCCTCAACTGCATGTTTAAAACTAACATTATAATTTAGTGAATTTAGAGGGGTGTTTCACTTTTTCTGACTTAGTGATAGCCCTACTCATAACCAAACACAGAGCATCATGCAGCCTTCAGAACATTAAGTGTCACTGTGTTATGGTGACATAAAAAAACATTTGTCACCATAAGTTCAAAAGTTGACACTGTAAGTCAGATTACATGGACATATGTTCTGTATATAAAGAAAACCATCACTTCCTTGTCATTACTCTTCTTCAGTGATAGAGCTTGGTGACGTTTCAAACTGTTAAAAACTGCCACCAACTATTCAGGAGGATTATTACACTCCTAAAGGTTGTTTTACTGTGTAAGGGGTGTGTACAGCAGGGTGGCCAATGGAGTGGCCAAAGATTTGTCTATGCATGGCCACCCCTGGCCACCCCCTGGCTCCGCCCCTGAGCTCGCTACTGTTGTTGTGTGAAAAAAAAAGTTAACGTTGCTGCAAACGATTCACGTACAGTTGCTCTGATCCTCCCGGTCAGTGAACCAACCAATGATTAGCAAAAGCTGACGTCAAATTGGGTCAGCCCAACTGGAACCACAGCTCTCGAGGTTCCAGAATCAGGGTGGACCTGGACCAAAAGGGCTGATGCAAAAACACCAAACCTGAGTTTGAACCCTGGCCGTACATCAGTGCAAAAATGCCTAATAAGATATATCGCAATATTTTGCGATAATGTAAGCAAGGCGATATATCGCCATTTTTTTCTCCCACAAGTTATAATTTTTAAAAACTCAGTATGTTTTATATTTTTTCTATGTTTAATATTTCTTATTTCATCCATGTTTTCAATGAAATGTTGCTGGGGAGAGGGATGTCTGGGTTTCTCTCCTTGACGTTTTCTCCGTGATCCGACCCAGCATAAGTGTTAAAGATGGACAGAACCATCCATTTTACACACCTAGAAAGCTAGTGTCTATTTTTAGTGCCCTGAGGGGATTAATCTAGAATAAGTGTAGAGGATTCTGTTTCTAAACTGAGACGATATGCAGCATTAGACAAGATCTCAGCCTATCGTTTAATCGTGGAAAAAAGACTGGTACCATTCACATAAATTTCTTCATTCGAGCTTCCAAAGACTAAATCCAGTAAATCACTGAGAGTGAGTTCGCCTTGGCAGGCGAACTCTCAAAAAAGCCTGCTGAGACAATGAAAATATGTATAAAAATGTTTACGAGGTACTGTAAGGTATGAGGACAGAGTGAGGAACAATAACACATTCTTGGGGATGCACCACTGCAAAGAGCTTTTAAATGTAAAGGCGTGCATAAATGTGCCCACAGCTACAAACACGGAGCAAATGGAGAAATATTTATTTAAAGTCTAACGATACAACACCCTTGGCTAATAAAACTAAACGCTCTGATCGTAGTAACACAAACAAACGACAGATATCTTAGAAAACCCAATCCCAAGTGATTCAGAACTAAGTTACTTACATTTTTGTCTATGATTTTAAAAGAAGTCCTCAAGTAGTTTTCAAACTTCTGCTCTGTCTTGGGTAGTGGTCTCCCCTGAAGAAAAGATCCATTTAATCAAAATCTTACCAATTATTTAGAAAGAATAAATAACAAATTTTAATAATAGCCGTACCTCTTTAGCTGCCGTTGACAGTTTATTCTTCACGTCAGACAGAGATGGAGTTTTAGGTTTATCTTTTCCCTGGGAAGGTGTCTGAAAAAAACAAAACAATATTTTGGATTTAAACTAGCCTTGTCGTTAAGATAATGCCTCGTTATTCCCTCTTCTAAGTTCAGTTCTCAGAAGAATTTTTTATGTTTTTGTGTTTTCATTTGAAGGAAAAACAAAATTGCAACATGACATGTGAACTATCAATTCATTTGTTGACCACTAAGCCGTCTGGACTGCAGTCCTAACGTGACCCGTTCAGTCTGGGTCTGTGTTTACAGGCTTGGCGTTGGCAAGCAGCTGGACCAAGATAAAAGCATTAGAAATGACAACGCATTCTTGCTTAATTACATAATCTTTTTTTAAACAAATACACCAGGTACAAATTATGTTTTTTATTGTTTGCAATTAGGAGACTTTCGGGTGAACAATACAGACAGTCAGTTCTGGTTTTTTGTTTTTTTTTCTAGTTGTGGAAAATTACAATGACTGGAAATGAAAGTGCAATCATCATGTTTGTGCTTTGGTTGTATCAAACTCTGGGCTTTCTGTTCAGCTGGAATGAATGATCAGCATTTTAAAACATTTCTGCCACAAGCAGCTTTTATTTTATTCTTTCAGCAACATTAAAACTGCTTCTTCGTCCAAACTTGATGACTTTCCTGTGTTTGGGAGGATGAGAGCAGAAGGAGCACTTCACTTGCAGGCTTGTGGGCGTGCAAAGTACTGGACAGTCGAAAACCCAGAGGTCCCATATTAAGATGTGTCTCGGTGTGACACGCATGCACGCACACACGCCATATGGTGCGACTGCATGCTAAACAAGCTACGGATCCTGTCTCTACATGCAGCACAAGCGTGGAATCCAGCAAAATTGCAGGGTTTCAATGATAGGAAGAGGAGCGTTTGAAAGGCAGCAGAAGTAATGTACAGAACAACCCTTTAACCAGCCAGGAACTGCAACAAAAACATCTTCACAAAGACACAAACAGCGTCCCACGTACTACTTTTTTCTGTCCAACCATACCTGACACTTAAACACTGCATTTAGAAAATCCAAACCCATTGCCTTTAGGGGTTCAAAACCAAAAGGAAAAGGTTCAGTACTGGTCCAAGAATCATTTGTCATTGGGTTATACAAAYAACAATATAAGTATTTTTATATTTACTTTAGTCGACAGGTATTTGTTTTTATCTGACCACTTCCATTCTTACCTCTTGTCTGTGCTTGACTCAGTTGCTGTTATTTTTTGATCTACAAGTTCAGCTGGGCCAGAATGGATAAAAACTTAACTAAAACTAGTCCATTCTTTGTACAAAATGTTATGGACGGCTGAATTAAAGTAAGTTTGATTCGTAATCCTTCATATAATCAAAGAAAATGGTGGCCCACCCTTTCTTTGTTTCAGTTTTTGGGGTTTGTTTAGTCTTATCAGCTCTCTCAAGGTTCTGGTCCACATTGCCTTAGTTGAGATTAGGACTTTGGACCATCGCAGCACTTTGACTCCTTTATTTTTCAGTCATTCTGATGTAGATTTGCCAACATTTGACAGTGGATTACTTTTTTTTAAGTTTATTCATTTTCATTTAAAAAACAAAACAAATACTATACAAAACAAATAATACAAATCAAATAAAACGAAAGGCAGCAGAAAGACGAAAAAATCGTATTAACTGCCCCCCAAAAAATATATATAAAATAAATAAATTCAAACAATAATGATCTTCAAATAACAAAACATAACAAAAAAAACTTTCCAAACAGCTCTTTTGAACACACATTATACAACTTCATATTTTTTTGAAAAACTAACTTTTATCATTCTCTTAAATAAATTTATTGAGTCAGCATTTTTATAATCACTTTCCAGATTATTCCACAGTCTTATTCCTTGGACTGAAGTACATCAATCCTTCAAATTTGTTCAAATTTTGGGCTTTACAACCATCTCTAGCCCCTCAGGGTTTTAATCATTTACTCTCGACAAAATTTAATTGGATATTTAAAGGTAACACATTTTTATGAGCCTTATACATGATCTGCAAAATATTATGATCAACCAATTCATAAAATTTCAATGGTTTCAACTGATAAAATAATATATTTGATGGGTGACTGTAATGTTTTCTGGTGGTAGTTCTTATGGTTTTTTTTTCTGTAAAATAAAGATGGGATTTGTAGTTGTTTTACATACTTTCCCCCAGATGTCAATACAATAAATTAAGTGTGGAACAACTATTACATTACATAACATAAACAACGACCTGTCTGTAAATAAGTCCCTTACTTTATACAATACAGCAATGGATTTGGTTATTTTTGTTCTTAAGTTATCTTAAGTGATCTACAGGAGAGTTTATGATTGATTCGAGGACTACAAGGTGACCAGGTCCTGTGGCCACAAAATGAGCCCAAATCATCATCTTCATCCCACCATGCTGACAGTATCTACAAGGTTTTTTTCTTGATATTTAGTGCTTGATTTCACAGCCAAACATCTCTACTTTGGTCTCATCGGCTCAGAGGACATTGCTCCATAAGTTTGGTAGTTTGATCAGATGCTGTACAGTATGAAAACCAAACCTGTGATGCCAAGTTTTATTCTAATAAAAAAGTTAAGTTATATTYAAACCTATATAAAACTAAGCCCCTAAAAAACAAAAGCATCTTAAAGTTGAGACTTATAATAAAACACAGGTGCATTAATTTAGAAAAATGTGGCCTCTTTCTTGTTAAAATGTGCAATAATGTGTCCCTGAGAGATCCGCATTTTACAGCAAAGATCAAAAGGTTAAAAAAATGAACAAAACTTTGAAATAAACATAGAACCGTACACAAACACACACTCACACACACTGCTGGCTCCAGGCCAAACAAATGCACCACATATTTATTATTTACGGGCAGCTCTCCACTTCCAAAGGACAGCTGTGGACCTGAAACAGCTGATAAACACACAAAGCCAGCAAGCTTTTTCATCTGAGCCAGACGCTGATTAAAGACGGCACAAGACATTGAACTTAATCACAAGCACACTATCATTTGATGCAATTTCTTGCCTTCAATCCAGCGCAAACATAGCTGTGACACATTTGCTCATCAAGCCTGTCCAGGATGAGTAACTGTCATTTTGGAATGTGAACTTTTAAGGCTCATATAATTGAAGAAGCCGTCGAGACAAAGGGATCTGTCACCATCCCTGTATGAATTATTGGTCCAACAACCAATAAATGTAACCAATATTAAGTATGAAGGAAAGTACAGCTTATACTACAGATTTAAATGATTATAGTTAACTGATTCTTTAGTCTGTTTTGGAAAAGAGAATCTAAAGACTCCTGTATTTTTGTCAGTTTTGGACTGACAGGTGTACTCGTTGGACTGACTAAACTAATTTTCTTTATGTACGTCTAAATGTGTTGAAAATGTTACAGGTCCAAGAAAGAAAACAACCTTACAGAAATAAATAAAGCACCTGCTAAAGAACCTGCCAATCAGTCACAAAAACAATGACTCACACCCTTTTGGGATACTGCCGAGTGACGCGATGTACGGCTTTACGATTGTGACGTGTGCTTCGAGGCATTGGCTTCTCCAAACCCATTAATCATAAGAACACCAGCTGGAAGATTGGGTTGCCTCAAATCTATACAACTCGAGTTAGCTGGTTCTCACATTGAGCCCGTCACACAAGAAGGTGCCGCGGCACGCTGGGCTGTGAGAGGTGAGAACTGTGGCGCTGGCAGCAGATCTGACAAGCCAATCTAATGACCAGTCCCCTGCATTTAGGGAGAAAAAAAAAAAACAGACATCCACGCCCGCTTCCTCGCTCCTCAGGGGCATCTGGAAGCGCAAGCTGCACCAGACATCAAACACTCGTAATGAGAGCAATTGGGAGAAGGTGTGTTCAGGAAGTGAGGGATGTGAAGAGGTTGTAGAACGGGAACAGTTGTGAAGTGGTGGACAGGGGATAGGAGTAATAAAAGCTCAGAGTGTCAGAAGATTAAACCGGCGGGAACGGCTTGTCAGTTCAGTCGTCCGTTGAGCGTTGCGCAAATCAATGTGCCATGTCTCGACAACATCCACACTAAACCACACAGCAAGAACATCGTCCCTCTGGGAAAAACCCTTAAGCTTTTGAGTTAAGTGGGGTTGCTGCGATTATTTGGGCTAGTCAACACAATCAAACGGTGTTTGGCTTTGATAAATCAGCTATTAACTTTAAGAACAGTTATTTATGAAATAGGAAACAATGCGTTATGTTTAATGGTTTTTGTTATAGATGCACGATATATCATTTCGGCCAATGTTGGCCATTTTTTAGCATATCGGTATCGGTCTAGTAAGTAAAACTGGATCGATATTGTCATCCGATATTGATTTCCCACTTTTTATCTTTGCGTTTCTGTTTTGGGAAGAGAAATGGTTGGTCGAGCAGTATCCGTTTGATCGATTATCAGCCAAAACAGCCATATTAACATTGAATATCGATTTAAATTTAAAATTTTCATATTGGTACATCTCTAGTTTTTGTTCAAATATTGTGGCTCTTCCATGTGGGGTTCCACAGGGCACCTGCTTTGGTCCTTTGCTTTATAGTATTTTCTATTTAATATTCTCTTTTACCGTTATACTACCTCTGCCCAGAATTATTGCACAAAAAATACAATGTATCGAGCCATTTCTTACTGGAACATGTAGCCTTCAGAAAACTCATTTATTYATAATCATGTAAAATTTACAAAAAGGTCTAAAAAAATCTATTTGTCATAATGAAGTACAACTCATCGAGTTGATTTTAAGTCATTTAATTGAGTGTTTCTCCTTTTTGTTTTATGGATTGTATTATGTTGAAGTGTTGTAGCTTGTTCTGTTTTTGAAGTGTTGAAGTTGGTTGTCTTTGGGGATTTTTAGGAGGTGTTTGCGCAGGATGTTTTGCTGTGTGTTTGTTGATTGATTTGTCTTAATGTGGGGAAATTTTATGTTTTTGTTGGATCCCAAGACAAAWAGTCTCTGCCAAGGCAGCAACTAATGGGATCCTATGAATAAACAAACAAGTAARCWTWAACTGCCAACATCAGTATTATTARTCAACATAAAAATCTTAAGACTTTATCTTTTAGTTTCTTAAACTAATCAAATGATTAAAAAAAGTTTAAAATACAGTAAAAGAAAGTAAACTAGTAAACTTAGAAGTGAAACTGATCTCAACCCAACACCTATTATAATAACTGTATAGATATTGTTTAACAGGTAAACAGGTAAAAATTGTTTAAAAGTAACTTAAATCAGTAGGCTTATAAATTATACAAGCAAAAAATGCAGTTCATTTATTATGTTAAAGTTCTAGACTGGCTTTTAAGAACATTAATCAATATTCCAGCCTTCAATATGCAATTGTAATTAGTTGTGTTGTTTGTTTTCCTCTTCTGTCTGATAAGCAAAGCCAAAAAGTTAAATTATTTCTCTCCGGTTCTAAAAATATCACTACAACATGCTGAATATTTAAGATTTTTAGTTTAAATACAGAATAAAAGCCAATTTGCATATCTTTTGATTAACTGACATAAAAATGGCCGAAGGTGGCAGCTCTATGCTTCAGAAGTTCTGGATAAGTGTTCGACGTGACAAAATCACAAATCTTTCTGTCATGACCTCAGATAAGTATTTCCTCATGTGCCAAGACTGTAAAAGTGAGTAAAAAAAGTTGTGTCTTTAGTGTACGTTCAGTTTCATCCCAGGCACAGCTGTGCATTCTATGATGTGATACATGTTTGCATCACTGTAACGACACACAAACCTTTATCCGTTCAAGATGGGGTTTTTTCCACGGTAATGTTTTGTGAAATGTGTAAACAGCCAGAAAATCTTGGTCATTTGTGTTCCCTGATACGTACAACACGGGGGGTGGGGGGGCATCAAAGGTGGCTGCAACTCAAGACGACGGGGTCAGACCGAGGGGTCGCAGGTTTAAACCCTGCCCCGGGAGACATGCTAAGAGGTCAGGTGTGTTTGCTTAAACAGAAAGAGTTCAAGCTTTAGGTTCGGAGAGGCGGCTGTCCAAGACAGTCTATCTAAGAAATTAACTATCAGGTTGAGCTAATTGCTACACGCATATCACATTCTTCCACTTTGGAATTTGAAGGCGCGCCAAGTTTCTTTTTCTTTTTTACCTCTCTCTCTCTGCATTTTTTGCATTTTTTTAAAGCGCAACTGGCAGGAACCTGAGGCGTAAAACTAAAATCATGCATCAGATTTTTGAACAAGATTTTTACATGCTCATAACATTAGTTTAATTATAAGAAAGAGCCGGTAAGTTTATCTTTAAACCTGCTGCATGTAGAGAGAGGAAACTCTGATTTATTCATGGGCAGTTAATATCTTTTCTGCATACGTTTGCAGCACAGTTTTAACAAAATGACATTTTTATTGCAAATTGTGTGTTTTGCTTAATTTTAATGATAACAGATTTAAAAAAAGAAAATGAACAAGTTGGCTGTAATTCTTTAGTCCATTTCCTCGAAAAGCCCCTATTCTGGATAATTAARTCTTGTTCTTATTTACAAATAAAATAAAACACTCTGCTGATCTCAAGCAAATCTAGACTGCAAAAACAATAACTTATAGAAAGAGAAGCGCCTCCTAAATCCACCAGTGTGAACTTTTGTCAAAGTATCACCCAGCGTTCCCTGCATCTCAACAAACTTTCTATTTTTAACATTTTTTTTAAAGAACGTCACCAAATATAACATAACTGATATCTTATGTATCTTATAATAACTGCCAAAAAATTATGTTAATAACCACAACTAATAGAAAGCAGTGGTACAGCCTTACCTTAATCTGAGGTTTGGTTGCTGATCCAGACGGTTTTCCTGCAGGGCCGTTTTGTTTCACTGGCGTCTTGTTGGCCTTTTTAGCTGAAGATTCTGGGATCTGAGGAAACAAAAAATTAAAAAAAAAAATAACTTTTCCAGCTCAATTCATCCAAGATATTTAGTGAATAAATTAAAAGCTAATTGTTTTGTTTTTAAAATGTGCTCAGGATGTAATGGTTATTTTCGCCATGTTTGCTGGTGGTGTTCTCCCATTTTATTTAAGTAAATATAACATTATAACATAACTCTTGTTTTAACTTCTGTACCATTATCTTTTGACATTATCACCAAAAAAAAAACAAACCTTTTTTTCCCAAGCAGCCATGCATAGAAAACACTAGAAATACTTAGTAATTTCTCAGCAATCAGCTATTTAGTAACCCAATAACCTGTCATTGTTCTCCGCTAAGCAGGCCTTACCATCAGGTTTACACCGCTGTGTAATTACCTTGTAATAGTCGAGGCAAGTACCTGCATTTCCTGAGCACCAAACGTTTTCCTGCAATTGCAGGTATTCACATGAGAAGAAGTTAGAAGTGTTGCTGCCTGCACTGACAGAACGGCTACAATTCCACAAACAATTCAGTCACATGGGTTTTTGATGATTAGATTTTTAATGCTTTTTAAGCTGAAAAAAATGATGATCATATTATACTCGAGATCATATTATACATGAATAAATACGGTAACTGCAGTCACCTTCATGCCGCTTAACAAATTTTACGTAAGTTTGCGGAAGTTTACAAAATTTACGTAAAGTTACAAACGAACCAGGAGCAGTTTGTGAAAACATCCCACAACCACAACTGCTGACGCTGTAACATCACTACCTTCTCCTAAACAAACCAATGCCGTGTATTCTGTATGTGTCTTCCTCTGGTTTCATTTTAAAAAACTGCGTTCACCCTCACATCGCTTAAGAAGTTTACGGAAGTTTACAGAATTGTGTAGAGTTACAAACAGACCTGAAACGGAGTTTCTGGAAACAACACACAAAAACAGCTGCTGAAGCTGTAACAAAACGACCCACCTCTATCCAAGCCAGGAAAATTTATTCTGTATGTGTCTTCCTCTGGTTTCATAAAATAATTGCAGACGCCCACACACTGCTTATGAAGTTTACAAAATGTATGTAGTTAAACAAACAACAGCTAATGAAGCTATAATATTGGTACCCTCTTCTATCCAAGCCGGAACAATTCACTCCTTAAGTGTCTTCTTCTAGTTTCATTAATAACTGCAGTGGCCCATAAAATTTACGTTGCGTAAAAAATAAATAAATAAATAACTTTCAGCGGTTCTACGCTAAAGGCCCACTACAATGTCACAATGCAATATTTTAGACAACTTATGCCAACACACAATATTTCTACATTGAAGACAGTATTTAAAAGAAATTACCGGTAGCCTCATTTGGAAGTATACTGTACATGCTGTAATGCTAACAATTCAATCAAATATATGGCCTGTACAAATGATTTACTCACAACAAAATGTTCATAAGTTGGCATAAGTTGTCTAAAACAGTTTGTTCCCAAAGTTGGGGTCAGGACCCAAAGCGGGGTCCCGAAACATCAAGATGGGGTCCTGAAAAGATTTTCTGAATTAATTACATTTTGTCTTAGTTGTTACAAAGGAGTGAGGTTAGTRTATTTAAAATGGATAAATGTAGTATAAAAATATTGTTACTATGCCCATGTTT